GTTTTTTGTTTTGTTGTTATTTGTTCGTTTTGAGACAGTGTCTCACTATGTTTTCCTTAGTACAGTGCTATGGAGTCACAGCTCACAGCAACCTCAAATTCTTGGGCTTAAGTGATTCTCTTGCCTCAGCCTCCAAAGTAGCTGGGACTACAGGCACCCACCGCAACACCCAGCTAATTTTTTATTGCAGTTGTCATTGTTGTTTAGCAGGCCCGGCCTGTGTTCAAACCCACCTGCCTCAGTATATGTGGCCAGTGCTCTGGCCACTGAGTTTGGGCACAGAGCCATATTACCCTGTTCACTTTTATATCACTTAGCCTTTATATTCTAAGGGTTCAGAAAAATGCACATTTCTCTGCCTCATCTTTAACTTGGTTTCTCCAGTAATTATAGCCTTCAGACCCTTGTGGCCTTGTGGCCTTTAGATCCCTCTACTGGTTATTTCTCCTTTCCCAGTCCAAATCAAGTCCGTTTCCACACTCCAGCCCACTGCCTCAAGTTCAGGGTGAATGTGGCTGCCTCTGCCCTCATACCTTCCATTTGTGGCTCAGGAGCCTGTTCCTACAGAAAATTTCCCAGCTACCAGCAAATCCAGGCATCTGCTCTTTCTTCCCCCATTCTCTCCCAAAGAAGTTACTTCCTAAATGACTTCTTCTTTAAACTGTAGGTTCTTCAAGAGCAGAGGATTGTTCTAATTATATAAAGACTCATTGGTATTGTCCATAGCCATGAATTTCCATTAAAATCGCCACAAGTGTCAAAGTTCAAATCACAAATCATTGTCAAGTGTGCTCAGAGAATTTCTCATTAATGATCCTGTTCTGATAGTTTCCAAAACAGCTAAAACAGTTCACTCTCATATTTGTGTTTGTTGTGCGTGCCAGCATCCAGCTACGGAGCCTACGGAGACTCAGACTATACACGCATAGTAGCTTGTGCCAGGTGAGTCTAAGAATTCAGGGTCTCACTTTTTGTTACAGTATTAGTTCTTTGCATATTTTTAAATTTTAACATGTCCAAAAGATACAAAATGGTTCATTTTTTAAAATTCGCAGTAATATTCTTAAGTAGCTATTTACCATAAAGAACAACTTTGATTTTTCTCAGTTTTCTCTCCCATTTTTGTCTCCTGATTCAAACAGTATAATATTAACTTTTCCTATCTTTCAGAAGGGTAGAGATGCTCATAAACAACTCCTACTCTCTTAATTAGAAAAATTGCATTTACCCAGCAAAATCCCTGTCTATTATCAGCCAGTGGTTCTCAGCTCAACAGCACATTGAAGTCAGCTGGAGAGCTCTCAGAACTATCTGAAGCTCAGACCTCACCCCAGAGGTCATTCTAATGGTAGACAGGCTTGAGAATCACTGATGTTAAATCTCCTGCTGACTAAATACAAAGGCCTGAACTGGCCAGTGTATAAGTTCCCTATTGCTGCTAGGTAACAATTTACTATCAATATAAACTTAATGGCTTAAAACAACACAAATTTATTATAATTCTAGAGGTCAGAAGTCCTAAAACAAAGGGCTGGGCTGTATTCCTTCTGAAAGCTCTAGAAGGGAATCTACTTCCATTTCTTCTAAATTCTAGAGGCTGCCTGTTGGCTTGTGTCCTCTTCCTGTTTTCAACGTCAGCATCACAGTGTTTTCTAATCTCTCTCTCTGACTATAATTGCTGCTTCCATCATCACATCTTTTCTAACTCTCCTGCTTCTTTCCTTTATAAAGACCCTGTAACTGTATTGAGGCCTCCCAGATAATCCAGGATAATCTCCCTACCTCAGATCTTTAACTTAACCACACCTGTAGAGTTTCTTTTGCCACATAAGATTGTATATTCACAGGGTTGGGGGATTAGGACATAGACATCCTTAGGAGTCATTATTCTGCTTTACCACAGCCACCATCCTAAAATATTTATGAAAGTGTAGCTTTATTTAAAATAATGCATATATTTTTGGCTGTGGCAGTCACTCAGTGTGGCAGAGCCAGAACTAGAACACAGACTTCTTCACTCCTCTTTCCATCGCCCCTCGATTCATCCTGTTGTGGTTCTGTTTCCTTAACTCTGTGTATTGTCAATAGCAGTGCTATCTATGGATGATTATCCTGCTATTATTACATATAACTGCACATGATGCCAAGCCCTTAGTATGGATAACTTGGACATTCAATAGGGTTGTGTAAAAGATGAGAGCTGAAAGGACTTTAGGGGTGAGATGGTAACCTTCTTATTTTAAAGATAAAGAATCTGAGACCCCAAGAGGTAAAGTCACCTGCCAAGTCCCCAGAAAGTTAAAGGCAGAGCCAGGGGCTCAAATGCCCCACACCTGATGCTCAATCCAGTATTTAAAGCACCACTTTCAATCAGGATAAGCTGAGACCACTGATGCCAAGGAACAGCAAATTGATCCTCATTGCCTCCCTCCCAGCTGTTTTCCTGTCCTGGTCCTGAGCCCAAGAACTCCCTTTTTAGGATTTCCTCACTACTCAGCCCTCCTTGCCTCCTTGGCTGCATTCTTCTTTCCACCATTTCCTTCTTTTTTCCTCTGCTCAGACATCTTTCCTCATTCCCTATGTCTTTCCATTAAGGTCACCCTTTCCCAGGCAGCTTTCTCCTCCTAACCACCATTCCTACTCTTGTTACCTGTCAGCTGAGGAGGAGGCATGATCACAGTTATCTAAATCTACAACAATTGTCACAGGGAAATGTGAGTACAGTTGTGGAGTCATCTAGAGGCCTAAAGGAAAGCATCTAGACTTGGCATAAAAAGAGTTCTTTGTTTTGTTTTCTGAGTTCTTTGAGTTGCTTGTAGATTCTGGATATTA